GAAGTAATTCTCTGAGCGTGGGTTTATCCAATACTTAAAATCCCCTTTTCCAAATACTCATGAACATTGCAGCAAAACTATTGTTATGTCTAATCTCCATAGACAATCTAAAATCTAGTTCATGACAATCTTAATTCATTACTTACTTCCAAAAGTACGATCGACTGTGGAGTTTTAAATAATCCATGTATCCGGGAAGTAAAACATGCAAAGTGAAACACAGTAATAACCTAATTAACTATGGTCTCAAAACTATTGAATATAAATGAAACTCTTATTATTTAATCACCTTATTAATTATAATTTATTCATTGTATAACGTTTCGAGTAATCAACTAACCACTTGAATTAAACATCAATCATGCCATGTTATAAACATGCATACAATGTCTCTCTATGGTCCTTCATTAGTGAACATATCGATTGGACACTATTCTAATGATGCTCATTTTACAATTCCAAATTCTTGTCACTACTAAATGTGTTAGAATTCCAACCTTATATGCATTGTCATTCAGTGATGTTGAAGCCTCAAAGTCACAGAGACTTAGCCAACGATATTATAGAATGTACTATTGGATCTTTGTTACTAAAAAACAATTCCATGGTAAGAAGTCTTAGATTCAAGACACGCTCATTGAACACCTTCCTTGCATTAAAGTTTCCAACTTACATGTAGATTTTTAATAATCAGGTCCCAATATGGAAACATTTCCATATGACCATCAATTTTGATCAAGAATCATCCTAGTCTAAAACATGTCTCCATGGTCCTTCTAACCAATACCATACTTCTAGTTGTCTGCAAGTAACCATTTCTTTTGTTTTAAAACTTTAGTCGCACCAAGTTCTAATTCTTTTTACCACTCAATGCCCTAGGTATTTGGAAAAATAAAAGAAAAGTGAATATTATAGTGTAACGCCCGTAGATCCGGGCTAGTCAATTAGAGACGTTAAGCGTCAAAAATGACTTTTTTATGGAAGATTATTTTGAAGGAATAATCTTAATTAAGTTATAGTATATGTTACAAGGTTTCCGTGCATATAAAGAACGCCGAAATCTGAGTTATAACGAAGAAGTTATGACCTGTCGAAGTTTCACGACAGAACCGGCACGACACAGCGCGACGTAAAAAGTGAATTTACGTAGAGCGATATTTTGCCTTAGTGATCTAAATGAGATTCGAAGATCTCATTGTTAGTATCAAAGCGATAAAAAGTTAGGCAAGAACGGATGTCAAACGAAGAAGTTATGAATTTATAACAAAATTTTGTGTCCCGGCCTATTAAAAATAAATAATAAAAATAAAGTCAAAATTAGCCGACGGAGTCTAAACGAAAGTTGTAGAGCGTAGTCTCACCTTCACATGGATATAAAGAACGTCGAAAACGGAGTTCGTATGAGGAAGATATGAATTTTCGAAGTTTATTAAATAATTAATAATTAAATTTAATTATTAAACCTCGGTATTATCCGGAGGCGAGTCACCGGGCTCATCCACAGTACGCCCCGCGTACAGCGAAGAGTGTCGACACTTCGGATGACGCATGCAGTGACGATTTCGGACGCCAGTACGCCCCGCGTAATTGAGGCTACCAGCCACCTATAAATAGGATGCGAGGGCAGCCGGCTCCTTTGCTATTTTTCTCCCTTCTCTCTCCCGTTTTGCATCGTTTTGCGTGCCAGAAGTACCCCGAAGCCCCGGTAATATTCCCGAGTCCCGAAGCAAGTCCTGAAGCAAGTCCCGAGATCCCGAAGATCCCGAGAAGTGCGATTCCCGAGCCGAAGCTCTGCCCGCGAGAAGCCGATTTTTGTGAATATCTTCCAGATCTACCGAAGAATACTACTTCTACAAGTCGTAGTGCTGTCCGATCATCTTCTGATCAAGTGAGTGTATAATACCTTTCGTAACCACGATAATAATACAAGTATGGTTTGAGTGTATTAAGTATATTGTTGTTTATATGTGTGAGTGTGTGGTTACTTTCTTCTAACGCATAATTATTAAGTATTTAATATAAAATACGTGTTATGTGTATATTTTGTTGTTATATGCGTGAATGTATATTCACTTTCTTCTATCTCATATATATGATTTATTCTCTATGAAATATGCGTTATGTGGGTATGCCTCATCTGTTATGTGGAATAGGTATTGAATGAGAATGTTATACAGGTTTTAAACTATGTATAAAAATATATATTTTTTTATCTACTAATATGCTGGGTAGAACATGGGTAGATAGTTGATGTGTGATGAACAGATGAGAGGCCCCGATGTTGTTGTTGATCTAATTATTCAGCGAGTATGGATTAGACCAAGAGGTTAGTTTTAGATTCGGGAGTATGAATCAGGTAAAGAGATAAAACTTGTTATTAGTCTGGGAGTATGGATTAAGACTAAGTTAATTGTCCCTAGTCCGGGAGTATGGATTGGGTACAATTATTGATCCGGGAGTATGGATCAGATCAGGATTAAGGTAGAGTTAATTGTCCTTATTCCGGGAGTATGGATTGGGTACAATTATTGATCCGGGAGTATGGGTCAGATCAAGAGGTTAGTTTTAGATCCGTGAGTATGGATCAGGTAGTTTTAGATCCGTGAGTATGGATCAGGTGAAAAAGGTTAGTTTTAGATCCGTGAGTAGGGATCAGGTAAAGAGGAAAATTTTAGATACGAGAGTTTAGATCGTGTTGTTGTGAGGATCGATGGGGTGGGATAAGAGTTTCCTTTATATGGTGAAATTGTACAAGTTTGAATGTTCTATATTTATAAATATATGATATAACATTGTGGGATGAAAACCCTATATGCTCACCAGGCTCCCAAGCCTGACCCACTCAGTTTTCTTTGTATCACAGGTATTAATACGAAGACATATTTCACAGAGAGATTTAAAGGAGATATAAATCAATTATGTAATTAAATGTAAGTTTTGTTTATGCTTATATGTCTGTATCGGAACATGACATCCCGATGTTTTATTATTAAATGAAAATACATTCTCTTTGAGAAATGTTTTGATAAGTTATTATCTTATCTTGTTTTGGGAACAAATTCCGCAACCATTTTCTTTAAAAGATTACTCTGATTTTATAAAACAAAGCATAAACAAATCGGTCTTTTCTGGCCGTAAAAATGGGGATGTCACAGTTGGTATCATAGCATTAGTTTAAGCGAACTAGGAATTTGTAGGAAATTTCTAGACTTAAACTTAGAATGCTAAGAAATGATTGTGAGGAGTGTGTCTAAAATATGTTAGGTAGTACACCTAAATTGACACAAGCACTAGTTTATTTTAGGAATGATGCCTAAAAAGCTTTTATGTGCTAAATGTTTTGTGTGATAGCTATATTGATGCTATTATTTGTTCGGATCTATGTTCTGTTGCCGACCGGATCTGGAAACCTTATGTGTTTAGGATTCTAAGTGTATGTCTACGATATTAGAACTAGCATGTAAACATTTCGGAGTGATAAGGATGATTCACTACTAGAAAAACAGCCTTTTACGACACTCATTGCGCGTCGTAAAAGGCTCAGACGACGCGCAAATGCGCGTCAAGGAAGGCCCTATCATAAAGAGAGACGACGCGCATTCACGACGTGCAATTACGACGCGCGTTTACAACACGCAATGCGTATCAAGGAAGGCCCTGTCATAAAGGAAGACGACACGCATTCGCGTGTCGTAACATTACGACGCGCGTGTTAATGACACGCAATGCGTATCAAGAAAGCCCCTGTCAAGAAAGGCCATGTCATAAATGAAGGTGACACACATTTTTACGTATCGTAATTTTAAATTTTTTGTAAAAAAAAATTATTTATAGATTTACTTATTTTCATATTAAATTTGCATTTCATGTCACATAATGGAAAATAAAATACCATTTACAAATAATACAATGCACTAAACAAAAGTTAATGTTATACAAATAATCATTCCAATAGTAGATAAATGTAATAATACAAATAATCATTCCAATATTAGACAAATGTAACATTTCAACATTTTTTTATATAATTAACTAAATTATTAGCCAAATTTCCTAAAATACCAACATACTTTTCTATGAAGAGCATTAACACTATTCTTTTCCATCAAAAACTTCAAAACCTGCATAATTAATTTAATGTTTAATCAGCTACAGGTCAATAAGGTAGGTTTAAGCAAAAGAGTTTCACAGTAGTAAGATTTTACTTACCACTGTTGTTAATGACATTGAAAGAAGCAGCCCAACAAACAACCCCTCCAGAAGGATTATTACTAAATGAAACCAAAAACAAAGTTAAAAAGTCAAGTATTTTGTGACAACCCCGAAACCAAGGGCAAGGCTGTTTTTACCCATGGTTTGACCTAATACATGATAATAAATACTTGTTTAACAAAAAGAAAAATGACTTCTCACGTGAGATCACTATCAAGAATTGATGAAAAAGGGTACTCCACACTGTATTGCCAACAAGCTTGACACCAACACCTGAAAGCTGGAAAAAACAATAACATAAATAAAAATAAATGTAAGATTTGAGATAACAGATGCATGTGTATTAAAAACAGACACTTTTATTAACTTTTTTGGGATAAATAATGGAGTAATAAAGATTTGAAATTTAAATATGAACATACTGGCCATAGGCTATCTTTGTCAAGCTTGGAAGCTCCATCTTCGGCTTGGTTGAAGTAAAACCTAGTCCGATTAATCTTCCCTTTCATGAATTATCTCCAGTTATCAGTCACTCTTCTTGAGTAAACATCGTCATCACATAGCCCATATTGGGCTAGCTCATCTTGAGGAAGATACACTTAAGCTACTACTACTACTTCTCTACAAACCCCTGTTTCTGGGAAAGCATCAAAACCACAAAAAAAAAAAATCCTAGAATTGGAAAGTGCAATAAGGTAGGATCCAATGCTGGTGAGCTTCACAAAAAAGTCTTTTTCTTTCGACTCAAATTAAAAAAATATTGTGATGAGTTTTTGTTGCAAACTGAATTATGCAGATTCTCCATCAGGACATAATCTTACCCTCGTTGGCCCCTGTCGATATGATAGCTCTTTAGGTAACACATAAATAACTGCACCGACCTTTTCCTCTCTCTCTCTCTCTAGGTAACACATAAATAACTGCTTAATCATGTTCCCAGTGACCCGGAATGTGATCACTGGAGTCCTTTTGGGTGCTGTTATCTGTGCTGCAAGAACATGAGTCTGAGAAGAACCCCGAGTTGTCACTGGAGGAGGAAGATTCCTACTCCAACTCCGGTATCGGTAACCAAGATAAGAAGTCGGCTGGTAATTGCAAGCCTGCCAAGGTTCAGTGGAGTGAACGAATGTTTTGTGTTTTCGTGCATCTTGATGCTGGATTATTGAGCTGCGTATTGATCGTGGGGTCCGTGGGGAGCATCTAAAAAACAAAGCAAACAAAAAAAATGAAATTGCTTGACTAATAACATAAAATAAAATAAAAAAAGATAAAAATACCTTGCATAAAAGAGCATGTATGCGCCTTTTGTTAATACATGTTGAAGATCCACCTCGTTCACCTACATTGACATGATATAACTCATATAAGCATAAGCATAAGCATAAGAAATGAAAGGTGGTATTTTAGAAAAAAATGGTGAATACATACCATGGTGTCGTTAAATTTGAACCATTGATTGTGATGATTCTTAACATAGCAAACATAATGACCAGAAAAGGCATCATTCATTGTATCTACATGAACCACCACCCCATAAAGCCTGTAAACTGGCGACTTATCACTTGACCCACTAACATATGGAGCCATGTCTAAAATCTCTGGGAACTCAACCGATTTGTTCAGCTTCCCAAATTTAACACACTGTAATACAATCAAATTCAGTAACATAATAAGACTTGCACAAATATCTTTTGGTAAAAAAATATTACATGAAATCTCTTCAATGAAATAGTAAGCACATTAGGAGCCTCCAATAACATCAGTTTCTTTCTGACTTTCTCATAGGATTTGCACCTTAAGAGCAAATTAATTAATACACTATATAACAGTGAAAAGGATGTGATCAAGAAAAGATAGGTGAATTAACACCAAAACCAACATGCTGCATTTGTACTTGTTCTGGGGAGGAGTTAAAAAACAGAGAAAGTAAGTCGGCTTCCCGACCTACTGGACGGGCGGGTTTCTAGTCTTTCTGATGTTATTATTATTATATAATCATGTGTTAAAAAGATACTTGTCTTGTGATCTTTTCGACATTTTAAGAAAACTGGTTGGACTTGGGTTTTTATATTAATATCATGGGTCTGAAACAAATGATTGTTGATTTGTTGGTCAAGGCCTTTTAATCCGGATTCTAGTGAGCCAACTATATGCATGAAAGTGTTTGTATTAAGGTTCAACATGTAAACAATATGGTTGTTGAATAGAACCTCCAAAAATGCATAATATGCCTTTGTAAGCTACAAAACACACACAAAACAAGAACTAGCTCAAAAAAACATCAGATAAATTTGTTTCATCCTACAATAAAGGCTTAAGCTACAAAACATAACATTTAAAGTTGGAAAGTAAAAGCCTTACATAAAAAATTAAACAGAAACTACAACCATCTGTCCTAAATTTGTTTCATCCTACAAAAAAGGCTTAAGGAAAAGGTTAAGAGTTTCTTTTTACAAGCAAATATAGATTTGAGCAACAAACAACATGGCTACCCCGAGCCAGATCCAGATCTAGGCATGAGAGACATGGCTCGTCTAAAATCCAATGACTTGAGTGACCCAGGGAAGTTTTTCCCTTGTGGTAGGATACTACAATAAAATACATGACTATTTCTTGCATTCAACCATTAATTGAGGACATTTGCTTTTATTGTTTGTCAAAGAGATTTATTTAGGACCCTTTAAGGAACATAAAAAACTAGAGTTAATGTAATATTATTACTTGCAAACTCCTCATGAAAATAGGCGTCAAATCCCATAAAAAACAAACAAAAAAGCATGTGAAATGGAACAAATCATACTGCTGTTTAGCTTTGATATCCTTGTTAAAGTCAATGGTTGGCTCACAGTCAAGAACCAAAGCAGGTACCTGTTGATAGTCAATATGCAAGCAACCCCATCATCAATCAAACTAGCATCAAAAGCTCTCACAACTATGGTGTTGTTTCTTTTCAACATAACAAAATGAGTTGTTCCTTTTGTTACTTAAATAAGAATCGACTTAATAGAAAAACTCATGGAATGGAATGGAAAAGGCCTAAACACTAGATGTGAAAGTGAAAGTGAAGATACCTTTTCAATGCTTGAATGCGTATGATTACCCTCCAAATGAATTTATCTGCATCAGCAGGATCTGCATGACAGAATCCGTAAGTTCCCTATAATGGCTGAAATAACTCCTCGATATCTATAGAACTTCAAGTCCAGGAACAAACAGTAGAAACCATGTCTCCACAATTCTTGAAGTATTGTCAATTTCTAGGTTAACCAAAGTAGAAAATCCAAGAAATTTGTCAAGAAACGTATACATGTACTCAGGTTAATAAGACACGAGAGTACCTTTGGCGGGAGCGTTGATAAATAAAACCCTAGACGAAGGATGCTGATAACGAGGGTTTATGAGTTTTTTTGGTGGGTATTCTTTTTATCAGTAGATTCATCTTACTCGATCTCACATACTGATATTGATTTCCTGCTTCTACTCCTAGAACTTGAACGATAGCTCTTTTTCCTCCTCCTTGATCTGGAATCATATGAATCAGCTGAATCATTGATGAGAAGAACTTGAAGATAAAAGATGGAAACAGAGGTGGAGGAGAACAAGGGAAACCAGATACAAAAAATGAAGGCCAAGCCCGCATAAGAAGTGGTCGATGCAAAAAAAAAAAAAAAAGGGGGGAAACGAAAATCGCTAAAATCGCATGAGGGAATCCATGAATTTTAGGGAAAATACCACCGGTTGTTTGGGATTTTTCTTAGTAGCGAGATTTTTTATAATTCTTTTGGGATTTCATTCTGTAATTTTTGGGAGTGCAATTCGATCATCGATGGTAGAAGGGGTTTTTACAGAGAGTGAAGATCTAGAGGAGAGGGTGAGGATGCGTATCAAGGGGGTTTAATTTTTGGGTTCACCGGTGGAAACAAGGGAGAGGAGAACAGGCGGGATTTTTAACTTTTGGGTTTTTATTTCCCGCTTAGCTATTAAATGATGGAAAACGCGCCTTTCACTCAAAAATTATAAAACGACATCCTTAGACGACACACGTTTTAATATAGGTGCCCTCCGTGTTTTTTTTGGACATGAATTTTAGTGCACGCAAAAATGCGTGTCTTAAATCCTTAAATTTTTTAGAGAGATGACACTTTCTTATTGTCACTCTCTTTTGCGTAACATAAATCAATGAGTGTCGTTGTTTGCGCGTCGTAAAAGGCTCTTTTTCTTGTAGTGATTTGAATATCTATCGTGAATAAGGATCTAAATTTCACCTTATTCGGTGTATAGATCAAAAATGGTGAGAACAAGAAGTGGAGTTGGAAATGATGATGAAAACAGGAATCAACCACCAGTGATTGAGCAAATACCTATCATAGCAGTAGCACCTGAGCCAATAACAATGGCCGGTGTACAATTGATGATTCAGATGATGGTGGATCATCAGATGGATGAAACGAGACGTCTGCTTCAACAGAATCGTGAAGAACTGTTAATTCAAGTGGAAGAGCCCGAAGTGAATGAAGGGCACTCGGAAGGTGGAAACTTTAGTGGATCTGTTGGTCAAGCCAACCCACCAATAGTTAGGCAAAACAACCAGAATGGAAGGAATGATGGAATGAGAAGCAAGTATAAGGATTTTCTGACTTGCAAACCATCGAACTTCACTGGAAAGGAAGATCCGATTGGAGTTATGGATTGGATATCGGAAATGGAGCTAGCCTTCATGACTTGTGGCTGCAGAGGCAGGTTGCAGACTATCTATGCAGTGCGTCAGTTCCGAGGTGGAGCCGTTCGATGGTGGAACACTCTTGGGAAGATCATAAGCCCTAACGAGCCACTGCAACTGTCTTGGGTAGAGTTCTTGGTGCAATTCAAGCGCAAGTTCTGCTTGGCCCAAAACCTGCTAGAGTTGGAGAACAAATTTCTGATATTGAAGAAAGGAAGCATGTCAGTGGATGAATACACTAATGCCTTCATAGACAAGATGGAGTTTTCTTTGTGCATCGTCCCAGACGAACTGACAAAAGTCTACTGGTACGCAAAGGGACTCCCTTGGGAGTATGCGGTGCCAGTGCGTCCAGCACCTACTCTAGAGGTAGCTATTTGGGTTGCCAAGTCTGTTGAGAATATGATCAAGGGGAGGACTGACAGTAAGGTTGAAGTTGGCGAGAAGAGAAAGTTAGAAGGAACTTCAGGTTCTAATGAGAAAAGAAAATTTTCGAAGTCTGATTCGAAGAAGCTCGAAGAAGGAGCACAATGGTGTGACAAGTGCAAAAGGAAGCACATTGGGGAATGCTCTAAAGAAATGACCTGCTTCAAATGCGGGAAGACTGGTCATTACGCTAGCAAATGCCCAAACAAAAGAGAAGCCTGCTTTAAGTGTGGTGAAGAAGGACACTTCAAGCAAAACTGCCCAAGAAGACAAGAGGCTATAAAGCCAAATGCACCACCAAAGCCAAGAGCATTCCACATGATCCTCGACAAAGCAGAAAACAATGCGAGAATTCAAGGATGAAGACTTCATGTCAATATATAAAGTCTGTATCAGGAAGTGTAGCCTACTAGAGGCGTAGTATAGGGTGAACTTGAACTTTTGGGTAATCGTTTCAAGGAATTAATATAAACCCTAGTTTTGCTAACTGATGTGTTGAATGATTGTCTGATTTTCTTGTATGGTGACTTGGTCGACTACGAGACAATACTTGGGATGAGTATGAGTAGGTGTGAAAGATAGTAGATGCATATACTACCGGAAGCACAGGACTCGCACTTGGATTAGGGAAAGTCACAAGGTTACCAAGAAGCCGGTGATTGATTCCTATTTATTCTGGTATGTCATTACCATTGTTTCGGTAATAACTAGTAAGATGGTTCTTGTTCCGACCCTAGTGGTCATGTTTAAATTTGAGTTCGACTACGAGGAGTATGTTACGTGGTCTAGAGGACCAAGTTAGATGTAACATCTGACTTAAGTCAGAAGGTTGAAGTTAATGTGATTGATAGTGCCGCGCTCGTTGTTAAAAGACGTTTGCAGGTAGAAATGCTACATGCTGAAATGTGATTATATCACATTAGAATATGAAGGAAGGTATATTCCATTCTGGAATTTAACTTCATTAAAGACCAAGTCTAAGCGTCGCATCGTGCGATGAGAGGTCAGTAGAGCACGACCCATCGGTTTGTTACAATAGATAAAGGAAAGTATTTATCCTGAGAAGAAGGAGTCCATAATAAAGACTTATTTGGTAACTCGAGGGTTACGATTGAAAGTACAACATAGTACGATAAGCAGATGCAAGATTGGGCATCGTCTGCGGTCAAGAAAGCCATAGAGTTAAAAACTCTTTAGAGGAAACATAGAATTTATGGTTATTACCTAGGATAAAGAGATAGCGTATGGAATCATTATACAAGTTCTATTTTCGTTGATGATTCCGAGACGTAATCATCCTAAGGGGGAGATAATTGTAACGCCCGTAGATCCGGGCTAGTCAATTAGAGACGTTAAGCGTCAAAAATGACTTTTTGATGGAAGATTATTTTGAAGGAATAATCTTAATTAGGTTATAGTATACGTTACAAGGTTTCCGTGCATATACAGAATGCCAAAATCCGAGTTATAACGAAGAGTTATGACCTGTCGAAGTTTCGCAACAGAACCGGTACGACACAGCGCGACGTAAAAAGTGAATTTACGTTAGAGCGATATTTGGCCTTAGTGATCTAAATGAGATTCGAAGATCTCATTGTTAGTATCAAAGCGATAAAAAGTTAGGCGAGAACGGACGTCAAACGAAGAAGTTATGAATTTATAACGAAATTTTCTGTCCCGGTCTATTAAAAATAAATAATAAAAATAAATTTAAAATTAGCCGACGGAGTCTAAACGAAAGTTGTAGAGCGTAGTCTCACCTTCGTGTGGATATAAAGAACGTCGAAAACGGAGTTCGTATGAGGAAGATATGATTTTTCGAAGTTTATTAAATAATTAATAATTAAATTTAATTATTAAACCTCGGTATTATCCGGAGGCGAGTCACCGGGCTCATCCGGAGAACGCCCCACGTACAGCGAAGAGTGTCGACACTTCGGATGACGCATGCAGTGACGATTTCGGACACCAGTACGCCCCGCGTACTGCTGTACGCCCCGTGTAATTGAGGCTCCCAGCCTCCTATAAATAGGGTGCCAGGGCAGCCGGCTCCTTTGCTATTTTTCTCCCTTCTCTCTCCCATTTTGCATCGTTTTGCGTGCCAGAAGTACCCCGAAGCCCCGGTAATATTCCCGAGATCCCGAAGATCCCAAGAAGTGCGATTCCCGAGCCGAAGCTCTGCCCGCGAGAAGCCGATTTTTGTGAATATCTTCCAGATCTACCGAAGAATACTACTTCTACAAGTCGTAGTGCTGTCCGATCATCTTCTGATCAAGTGAGTGTATAATACCTTTCGTAACCACGATAATAATACAAGTATGGTTTGAGTGTATTAAGTATATTGTTGTTTATATGTGTGAGTGTGTGGTTACTTTCTTCTAACGCATAATTATTAAGTATTTAATATAAAATACGTGTTATGTGTATATTTTGTTGTTATATGCGTGAATGTATATTCACTTTCTTCTATCTCATATATATGATTTATTCTCTATGAAATATGCGTTATGTGGGTATGCCTCATCTGTTATGTGGAATAGGTATTGAATGAGAATGTTATACAGGTTTTAAACTATGTATAAAAATATATATTTTTTTATCTACTAATATGCTGGGTAGAACATGGGTAGATAGTTGATGTGTGATGAACAGATGAGAGGCCCCGATGTTGTTGTTGATCTAATTATTCAGCGAGTATGGATTAGACCAAGAGGTTAGTTTTAGATCCGGGAGTATGAATCAGGTAAAGAGATAAAACTTGTTATTAGTCTGGGAGTATGGATTAAGACTAAGTTAATTGTCCCTAGTCCGGGAGTATGGATTGGGTACAATTATTGATCCGGGAGTATGGATCAGATCAGGATTAAGGTAGAGTTAATTGTCCTTATTCCGGGAGTATGGATTGGGTACAATTATTGATCCGGGAGTATGGGTCAGATCAAGAGGTTAGTTTTAGATCCGTGAGTATGGATCAGGTAGTTTTAGATCCGTGAGTATGGATCAGGTGAAAAAGGTTAGTTTTAGATCCGTGAGTAGGGATCAGGTAAAGAGGAAAATTTTAGATACGAGAGTTTAGATCGTGTTGTTGTGAGGATCGATGGGGTGGGATAAGAGTTTCCTTTATATGGTGAAATTGTACAAGTTTGAATGTTCTATATTTATAAATATATGATATAACATTGTGGGATGAAAACCCTATATGCTCACCAGGCTCCCAAGCCTGACCCACTCAGTTTTCTTTGTATCACAGGTATTAATACGAAGACATATTTCACAGAGAGATTTAAAGGAGATATAAATCAATTATGTAATTAAATGTAAGTTTTGTTTATGCTTATATGTCTGTATCGGAACATGACATCCCGAGGTTTTATTATTAAATGAAAATACATTCTCTTTGAGAAATGTTTTGATAAGTTATTATCTTATCTTGTTTTGGGAACAAATTCCGCAACCATTTTCTTTAAAAGATTACTCTGATTTTATAAAACAAA